CCCCCAGGCAGTTCGCCACTAGGTAGCTCGCCACCAGGCAGTTCGCCACCAGGGAGCGCTACCAGGCAGTTCGCCATCAGGCAGTTCGCCACCAGGCAGTTCGCCACCAGGGAGCACTACCAGGCAGTTCGCCACCAGGTACGCCACCAGGCAGTTCGCCACCAGGGAGCACCACTAGGCAGTTCGCCACCAAGCAGTTCGCCCCCAAGCAATTCGCCACCAGGTAGCTCGCCACCTGGTAGTTCGCAACCAGGCAGCTCGCCACCAGGGAGCACCACTAGGCAGTTCACCACCAAGCAGTTCGCCCCCAAGCAATTCGCCACCAGGTAGCTCGCCACCAGGTAGTTCGCAACCAGGGAGTTCGCCACCAAGGAGCACTACCAGGCAGTTCGCCATCAGGCAGTTCGCCACCAGACCGCCAKCAAGCAGTTCGTCACCAAGTAGTTCTCCCGCAGGGAGTTCGCCACCAAGTAGCTCATCACCAAGGCACGTCACCACCGGGTCAAACAACGAGGTACTTAGCCAAAAAATTTATACATCACAAAAAATAGCACGTGACCAAAAACGGTTACATCAAGAACCTATAGGGTAGGTTTTAGAAAATTCATAAAACTACAGGGGTGTGTTAGTAAATGACCCTCTAAATAATAAAATATTTAACATAACTAAATTTTAAAATATTAAAATAATGAAATTATGTAATAAATTTAAAATTTTCTTAAAAGTAGAAGAATAATTATAATAGATTTCATAATATTCAAATTATTATTAATTTTATATTTTACAAAATTAATAACGAAATTATGTAATAATAGTATAAGTTATAATTTTATGGATTATTAAATTTAATAAATAATTAATATATTAAAAACTCAAGTAATGATATTATTAAAATAACTAATTTTTAAATATTTTAGATGATCTCTTGGGGTTGTGAAGCCCCATGGGCTTTATGGGTTTTAAGCCTTCCTATACTTTGACCTTTAAAAAAATTTCCTGACATCTTTTAGATTATCAATTAATAAAACTAATCAACTTTTTATTGTCTACTGCATTTCATGGGCCCCCGCTATTTATGTATAATAGTATAAAATATAATTTTATGGATTACAAAATTTAATAAATAAATAATATTTTAAAGATTGATACTATTTAAATAACTAAATAATATTTTAAATATTATTTAAAAAAATAAATTAAATAAAAAAATTATGTAATAACTTTAAAAATTATCAAAAACACAAAAATAGTTATAATATATTTAATAATATTTGATAATAAGATTATAAATATAAATATTTTTAAAAATAACTAAATAATATTGTAAATAACTAATTTTTAAATATTTTAAATATAAAAATTAATAACTAAATAATATTTTAAACATTATTTAAAAAACAAAAATAGATTAAATAATGAAATTATGTAATAACTTTAAAAAATTAGCAAAAACAAAAAAATAATTATAATAGATTTAATAATATTTGATAATAAGAAAATAAAGTATAAATCATTTAAAAAAATAAATATTATTGAAATAGTGAAAATAGATTAAATAACTTGTTGGAGATTAAACTATTGTTATTTGTTAGAGATTAGACTATTAATTTAGTTGAAATTATTTGTGTTCACTAGTAGTTCAATTCGGTTCAATTGTAGATTGTTTGGTCAACCAAATTGATCTAGTCAGGGTTGGAGAATTGGTCACTTGAAACTAACCAACCATTAGTGAAAACTGGTTAATTCGAGTTGTATTGATTAATGTTTTAAAAGTTGACATGCTTTTGCATCCAAGTCATGATTGCTAGTTCAACTATCCAGGTCGAACAGGTCAGACTATTCCATGTCAACATTTTATATATTTATATATGTGTGCGTGTGTATTATTTATGTTTGTGAATTCAATTTTATTTATGTTTGTTAATATATGTATGATTTTATATTTTATTTATGTTTGTTAATTCAGTTTTTAGTTTTTATTTACTAAAATATTTTTTTATTTTTTATTTATTAAAATATCAAAAATTGTGATTTGATGCCAAAAAAGGTTTTTTCACAAAAATAGTAAGGCAACGCCCATAGCCCCTTAGGACGCATAGATCTTGAAAAGTAACCCAAAATCATAAAAATTAAAAGTTCACCTTTATGGCCTACAAAAATTTGCACATACATTAGGTGTGCATCCTTTAACCCAGTGACCAGGTCAAGCAGGTCAATGGTTGAAATGTTCGAGTTGGTGGTTTTTGACAAAGTTAACGGTTTTTTACCAAAGGATGGTTCAATAGAACTAGACCCGGAATTAAGGTTGGTTCAAACGATTTGAAAATTTACAATAATATTGTTAAAAATTAAACTTACAATGTAAAATATTTAGACTAAGAAATATGGGAATTTCCCACTTTCCTATATTAAAAAAGTATATAATTGAAATATATATATATATATATATATATGGTTGGCTCGGTTTACAAATAGCCAAATCGAAACTAACCTAACATGGTTAAGTTGGGAAATTATTGAACCAAAACGACTCGAAATACTAGAAAGCGACTAACTCAAGTCAAGTTGGTTGGTTTGGTCAATTTCGTAGGTTTGATAAACAACCCTAACTGGAATTAATTATTACTATTTTTGTATTATAAAAATATTAAAAATAGTATATAAAATATAAATAATTATTAATTATTTAAAAATTAAAATATAAAATAATTATCTACTTTTATGTATTTTTATTATTCAGCTTTTGCTTAAGAAAGTCTGTACATCGCACTAGTAAAAAAAATGAAGTATAACACTGAGGTTCTTATAGATCCGGATTACTCTTTTAACACCATCACAACTTGGGCTGGTAGTTGAACTGATCATTTATACTCTATAGTGTATACAGCGTTATGTATAGTACTGTAGCATTCAAGGTTGCAAGTCCAGTACCCGATATAAAAATTCTAAACAGCTATGGGCCGGGGCCTCAGGCCAGACCCTTCTAAATTCTAACAAATACTGAAATACCCAACACATTCCTCCCAAAAGGCGTTGTTTCAAATTTTAATTGCTGAAAATGCACAGTAAAGCCAGTTAAAGTTGCATCATTCCCCAGGGTTCAAATATTCAATACTCCAAATGTTGTATTGCACTTGCACCGGAATGTGGTTTGTATCCGGGATCACGACGCCTTGCTGCTCGGATCGATCATAGCTTGATGATTGATCATTGATCCACTGGGGTTCGGTTTCAACTTTCTACGGCGAAGTCCAGATTATCAGATACGAATCCGATTTGTTTATAAATAAATTTGAAAAAGAAGAAGAGAGTTAAACCTGGAAAGAGATTTGATCATTGCGTAGGTGGGGTGGGATTACGTTATCAAAGACAAAAACGAATATGTCAATATCCGTCAAAATCATCCATGCTTTTGCAATGTCTTCAAAATTACGCTGCGTCCAGCCGTCCACATCCTACCAGTCCCCTGACCCCCTCCCCCATGAGTCCATGACATGACTCTTCAATTGGGAACAAATTAGCCCCCGCTGCGCTACCCCAGGATGGCAGGTCCTTCTTCCTCCGCCGCCCCCACCCCCAAGTCCCAAGTCCCAACTGCTATAATGGTCCCCATCCCCACAGGCTCCATCCTGCACGTAAACACGAAGAATAGAGAGAGAGAGAGAGAGCAAAAGCATAAGGCATACAGGGCCCACCTTGTTCTTACCCCGTTCCCAACAATTAATCATAACATAAAAGATTATATGGTCCATGCACATAAACGACCAAAAAGGAAGCTCGTCGTCTTGATATTATGATCTGCTGTTTTATCTGGGCTCTCTCACAGTCTCACCCCATGATATTATGATCTGCTGTTTTATCCGGGCTCTCTCACAGTCTCACCCCATTATATTTATGGCCTTACGGGTATTGGGTAACAGTAGGATAGAATCATCAGTTTGTCTAAAATCCAAAACACAGAAACTTCACATGCATTGACAGTGTTAGTAGGCAAGATTAGCTTACCTAACGATAAGCTTGGTGAGAAACTGGTAATTGATAATTGATAGACAGGTGTGCCCTTGGCTCCCTTGCCAGGCGTTTACTTAAAATAATGCTATCTACTCTTTATATTTACGATGAATTATCTCCAAGGCTACACAAAGAAATTGCTCCTCCCACATACACGTGGCTATAATTGCAACCAAACAAATTTTGTATTTTGTTCAAGGGAAGGCAATCATGGACATATCAATGAACCCCACTTTGGATACCCATGTGAGATATGTTCCTTAATCCCAACTTATATATTATTATCAATAATACCACCCACTCATTCACTCATTCAGAGCTGAAAACAAGAGAACTTTAACTTGATACGACGATATCTATTTATAATTAAATCCTGCAAAGCGAAGAGGCGAAGCTAAACAAAAAGGCCTTCTATTCCGCACCGGCACCGCTCAGAGAGAGGGGGAGAGGGGGAGAGAGAGAGAAAGTAGAAAACAGAAGGAAATCCGCAGTTAGAACTCAATAAACACAAATATAAATAGCAACTCCAAACATAGGAGAAAATGGAATTCTACTATATATGTTTTCCCTTGAAGATACAATTCAAATGGTAACAGTGGACTGTAGGGGAAATGAAATCTGTAGATTAATGGGCCTGCTTTTCAAGGAGATTGGGGATTTAAAAACTCCATAATTTCATCATTTTGCAGAAGCTAGTTCTTTCATGAACACTTCTCTTTTAAGAAAAGAGAAAACCCATCAAAATTATAGAGATAAATAGAATCCTTCAAAAAAAAGGGGTAAAAGAAAACTATACAGAATATCTCGACCTCGTCTTCTAACCCTGAAATAAGTTTACCTGGAAGAGACTGCATTCAGAGTCCTGGCAAATCCGTTCATAGCACCGTAGCTCTTGGAACTAAACCCTAGACACCCCAGCAGTCCTTGTCTGTACGGCAAGAACGTTTTCTTCCTCATCTCCTCCGCCTGAGCTCTATTTGCCGTATAATGCAGCTCATGAGCTGACGGGGGAATCCGACGCTTGCCGACGCCATTGGCTGGTTTACCCGCAGCAGTTTTCTTCGCGGAAACCTGTTGACTCCGCTTCGGTTTCTGTGCCTCTGCCGTTGTAGGCGCCGCGGAAGATTTCTTCTCCTTCGAGGAAGAGAAGGGGAGAGATGTTGATGAAGACTTCTTCTCTTTAGCAGGAGAGAAGGAAATCGAAGACCAGAACTTCTCTTTACTGTTCCCTCTCCCTTCGCTTTTACTTCGGTAGAGGAAGTCCTTCAAAAAGACCCATCTCTTCGAGCTCCTTCCGGAAGAGGACGACCTGGACGAAGAAGCAGAAACGGAAGGCGTGGTTCCCGTCGATGGAGTTTCGGCCTGTTTATTCTCAGAATCCTCCAGGTCTAGAGGATGAAGCTCGCCGGCATGTCGTACTTCCTGATATTCTTCCTCTTCGTGCCACTGGAACGGTGTATTTCTCAAAGGAGACAGAGATCTAGCCCTCCTGTGCAGAGATCCACTGCGTAACCTCAGATCTCTCCCTCTCGTCAACGACTCCTCGCGTTTCTCGAACTCTGTTTCTCTCGAAACCTTACCTTCCTCATCCTCGTCTTCGACTTCAAGATCCAGCAGCGGAGATAAGATCTGAGGCCTCTGCAAGTGAGAAGACAGCTTCATCGGCCGGATCTGGCCGTTCAAGAACAGCTCATCCGCAGAAATCATGGATCCAGCGGTGGTAGAAGCATTAGAAGGAAACCTCGCAGAGAATTCGAACTCAAAAGATCCAGAGACAGAAAGGTCAGTCGAGGCAGAGATGAAAGCAGAGGCAGAGGAAGAAGCAGGAGCAGAGGACAGAACAAAATGCATTGGACTCGCAGGCGCGCTGTAGAAGTAGCCATTGGGACCGCGTCCAGGACTGGATGGTGCACTAACGTAAGGAGTAGAGCAAGTACTGTCGATCTCTTCCGTGAAGCGCTGCGTTTGGTCAGCACCGAAGGTCTCTCCGTTGCTAGGGCTCCGAAGTTCTGTCTCCGAGCTCTGGTTGCTTTCGCCATTGTTGGCGTTCTCGAGCACCATTTCTTCTGGCGAGAGTAGCAAGACACTCGGGAGAGGAACCGTCTACTTGTTTGACACGCAATAATTATACTGCAGAAAGCTACTAGTAGTAGTAAGTAGATCAGAAAGCGATTTTACTTTAAATGCCCTCCATTATATTCTTATATATCGTCAATGCCCTCCTCCCATCTCTTTCCACTCATTTTACAATTATACCCTTTGCCCTATTAATTAACTACGGATTTAATTATAATTTTTGTGTGTCCAGGTGGCAAATTTGTATAGTAGTTCCCACTCCCCAGTGCTGATGCCGAATTACGGATCTTCAACTATCAGCTTTCTTGATATCTTTGGGGAGGGCAACTTTGGAATTTTAAGAAATCATGCATGGGAAGGATAAAAAGGGAAACATCGAAAGAAGAGTAGGGTCTGTAGGGATCGGGATGAGGAGGGGGAGGGGAGGGGGCAGCACCTTCGGCGCTTGGTAGGGGTGATGTCACGTTCACACACTCACGATGTGGCACGTGCTTTGGGTGCGGTTTTCGATGCGTTGCCTCTCAATGCCTCCTCGGCTCCTCCCATCCTTGAATCTTTTTTATGGGCCCAGCCCAGTATGATGCTGACTTTTGGGCTCTCTGTACGAGGCCCGGCCACCCCCACTTACGCAGATAAATAATCCCTCTTAGTCTAATTATTATATCATTTAAACCTTATATTAGTATATCTTCCCGTACTCCAGGAAAAGCCTATTATACCCCGAATGAAAAGTAGATATTTCAGTGATGAGGACGACGGACAAATGAGAAATGATGATCACCTTCTTTTGGTTTCTCCGAGGAGGAGGAGGAATTACAGGTGGAAGCCGCTGCAATGCTGCTCAGGAAATCGACGGTTGCAGTTGCACGATACCAACATAAGAGTTACAGGCTTTAAGATAGAGAAAGGGTTATTCTCTCATCTCTGTGAGTTGAAGTCTTGAAGATTCCATCTCGCACGGCCTGATTTTCGTGACAAGGACTTTCTCTCACGCAGCTGGATCCTTCTTGGAGGTTTAAAAATGGGTAAATATACCCTTGTATTATGGGGTCATTAAAAATACCCCCTAAATTTATTAATAACTTTTACTTTGCAATAAGTATCTCTCTTTTAGATTTTTGTTAGTTAAATTAAAAAATATATATATTTTTATTCAGTTATTTAATTTTTTTTAAATACCCCTTTTCTTATTTATTTGAATGATTTATTATTTGATTAATTTTTTAAACATAACATTGAAGTACTCTCAATTGGTCAGATTCAATATTCAAATGAAATGTTAGAGTGTAGAGTTTTCTTTTTCTAATATAAATTTATGATTTTGTTTGATTTTTCTTGATTTATTAGAAAAAAAGAAGTGAATAATTTTTATATTTAAAGATAAAGAGGTCTTTATATTTAAAGATAAAGAGAGACGATCATGTGAGTAAAATGAATAAGAATTAAGAAAAAAAAATCTATGCCTATAAAATAATTCTTGTTATTTTAGATAGTTTCATTTCGAGAAAATAAAGGTACTTTGGTTAAAAATAAAGAAAAGTTGAGATGAATATTTTGATAATTTAACGTATTCCATTTTAACAGTCATTGATATTTATTGCAAAAGTGAAAATTTAAGGGGGGTATTTGTCACTGACCCGATAGTACAATGGATTTACCCTTTAAAAATCCTTGGGTTCTGTAGTTGGTGTAGCAGACTGATACTCTGAAAACAGTATTTCAGATTTTCACTCTATAGACAAAAGCTGTTGGATTAGAATCTTTTAATATCAAATCACGTGAATGCAATGGTAGATATGTACAGAGCCGAACCCCACCCCAGTGATCGGGTGGGGCCATCCACTGTCGCTTGACCAATAAACCACCAGACAATCTTATCCATCCATCCCAAGAAAAGAAGAAAACACGGATTACAGCTTGTCCCCGTAACCATTGGATCGCTTCTTGTATCTAACATTCTAGCTCTAATGTGTAGAACAGTGTGCACGATTTCATTCCTGGACAATAAAGTATAACACAATTTTCGGGGTGATGCAATGAAAGTGAAGTGAATTAATTTTAGGAGAGAACTAGAAACCCGTACAATAGTCGAACCAATTTCCCCACTGTTATCTCACGGATCGTTGTTGTTTGTAGGCAGTAGTGTAAATTGGATCTTGTTCAGATCCTAAGTAAAGTGTGGATATCACCTAGATGGTAGATACAGCCCATGTTTACTGAGGACCTGAGGGGATTTATTGTCCATATTCGGCCCATTTAAAGATACGATTCTGGGCTTCAAAAAAGATACGATTCTGTGAATTGTACACTCCACCCACCTTTAATAGGGATTTGGTCTCAAATTCCAAGTCTGCAACAAGAAACTGAAATCAAGTGTCTAGATGATATTAGGGCCGTCAATGGATCGGGTCAGACCCAATGGACTCGATGGACCCCAACCGAATAGACCAGTTCTGGTTCCGGGATAGGGTATAGATGGGCTGTCTCTGGTTCCTGATCTATTTTCCCGATTACTAGCGGTTTGGAACCACTTCTACCCAGTCCGAACCAACTCAAACCAAATTTAAACAGGTTTAAGTAAAAAATTACAACCTTATGTGGTGGTTGAATTGGTTCTGGTTCTCCGGTCTCCTCCACGCAAGGTTTAGCTTGAGTTGATTCGATACTCTCATGTGGTGGTTGAAGATGATGTTACCATGTTGATCAGATATTTTGGTTTCGGTGGATGATGATGTCTCTCCTACATAGGACTCACCCTTTGTCACTAGTGCACAAGAACAAGAGATAAATTTAATACAATATGGTGGTATATCAATACTCTATTCTATTGATTACATGGTTGGAAAAAATAGGTTTCCTGTTTCAAGTAATGATCAAAATCAAAACAACAGAGATACACTAGATACAATGCAAATGCTGGCTTCAATCTCTGAATCAATTAAACTTTTTTCCCAGCTTTCCTGTGATTCTAGGAATAATAAAAAAAAAAAAGCAGATACAATACAAGGGCCTCTCAACTGTAACAGATATAGAAGACCAAGGTCCGTGTATCTAGTGTATTGATTGATGAACACAACCCATCTCAAATCAACATGATATCAGCAACCACTTCATTAACCAACGAACTTAAAATCTGCTTCTCAATCTCAACACCTAATTCAAATGTCTCGATGTCAAAATCAAGCCACCTTCCATATTGGCTACTCATATCCTTGTCTACAAGTTCATCAACCATCCAATCTCCCATGCTTCTCCACCCGGAAATCTCCTTGTACACTTCTTCAGCCAACCATCCCTTTCTTCTCACCATAGCCACCCCTTTGGCCCATGTTCTGGAGCTCCCACCAGTATATCGCCTGCATCTCAAGTCCAGGCACTCACTGGTGCAGTCAAACACTATTTTCCGCCTTAGCCTAAAATCCTTCTCCCGCACATTTCTCAACCCAGTTTTCTGACTTTCCAGCTGGTCAAATAGATGAGGGTTTATGATCTCACGAGAGCGACCTAATGTGAAGTCCCTGAACATCAATTCTGCATTAGACAATATTTCCCTCACATATTCCAGTTCCCACTTGGTTGAACTTGTGTTATTTGGCACACTTAATTTAGTTACATGTTTTCCACCTATTGTCTCAGTACATGTGGAAGATGCTGAATCAGAGAATTCTGTCTCAGATTCCCCTGATTGAGACACCCTTGATGATGTCATACTAACTACCTCCTGACCTTGAACAGATGAGCTCTGCATGTTGCCTGAAAAGAAGCATAGACAATCAAGTAATTCTTTGATGAAAAAAAAAAAAACAACTAACATGTAGATGGGAAAACCTAAGTCAAAAACAATAGCAGACAGCATGCAACTAAGAGAAAACATGTTTATATATGAAGATGCTGAAAATCATCTGACTGGAAAACGAGAGAACCCATTCCAATAATACAACGTCAGTACTCATTCCAATAATGCAATGTCAGTTAGCAGCACTCCAACACATAACATAAGTTTATGTTTTTACCGTTGGAATTGTCACTGTCTCCACTGCCTGAAGAATTGCAACTTTCATTCGAGAAGGAAGGCTCAAGAACGGAAACTGGACTAGGATGTCGACAATCTAATTCTTTTTTCATTTCATTGTTACTACTGCTACACTCAAAGACAACTTCCCTTCCCTGAAAACATTAATATTGTAAAGCCACCAAATAAGATATTGTTTCAGAAACAGCTAATGTTTAAGGAAACAGTAGCATACAAAACCAAAAATTGACATAAAAAGATAACTTTGTAGAACAGAAAGAGCTTTTTTCTTTAAATAACAGAAAGAGCATTTGTAACTTCATATTTTCATATAAATACTAAAATCAGATGATGGTTATTAATAGAGCATGAAATGTAGGAGAGGTATGTCTTGGTCCAGCTGTCATTGGTAATGGAAACTCCTATTGGCTTCATCAGTGGAAAAGAGCATCGAGACAGGGAGGTCTATCATTTCACTGTTTGCCATTAGTATCAAGACAGTAAAATTCCTGAAGAACCAATAGGATAAAGAATCAATGAGATTTAAGTGTGCTAGTTTTCCCTGAAATAACCCATTTCTTATTTGTTTACAACATGCTAATTGCTTGCTAGTAGAAAATATACTGGAAGCAAGAGAATGACGGGATAAAATTCAACAGTTTGGGACATTATCTGTAGATATTGAAAAAGAGTATTTAGCAACAGTCTGCCAAATCAATTCTAATGAACGAATAGAAGAATGGAATTTCTAAATGCTCTTTGAAGAGCACGTACATGGAAACACTTTTAAATACGGCAGGAAAGGAGAAACCAGGAGTGGGGCATTGCCAATAAGACAATGGTTGGCAGAAAAATGCTGATAAAGATCTTTTTTGAAAAAAAAGGTAATATAAATTTTATTTAAAATGGTAAGAGTTAGATCATCTAGATACATAGAACACCAATACAGTGATTAATCCATAACCTTACATACCGTCTTATTATAATGCATCATTCCAGGATGTAAAAGAAAGCTTATAAGAGTGAATTGACCACTGGTACCTCATTTCAGGTGGTTTAACAGGCCTTCTTAGTACAGAGAAATAGACATGCATACCACAAGCCAAGGGAATATATAGGCAAGGGACAGACAGAGCTAGACTACCAAGAGTGGGGGCTAAGTAGATGCAGATTGGTTACAACCAATACAACAAATACAACTAAGAAAAGAACATTAACAGAAATAATATAATGGAAATGCACATCAAAAGATTCCTTCTTCAAGACCAAAGTATCAATTCTGCACACCACTCCTTTTCAGATTTCATTACCTGCCTTTCCTTTATCAAAAAGTCTTCTATTTATTTCCTCTCAAATTGACCAAATGACTGCAACAGGAAAAATGTCCATATCATTTATTCCCTGAATGCATGGGCATACCATTTCAGCTTAAAAGAGTTAAGAAAAGATGAACATATCTGATAGGTAGGTCGTTGGGCAGTGCAAGAACAGATGCTCAACTCTCTCCAACTCAGCATAGCAGAACTTGCATACTGGGTTGGATATGGTTACATCCTTGCTCAAAAGCTTGCCTTTGGTGAGTCATTTCACCACACCGTAGTCCACAACATAAAAGCAGTTCTGGATGGTGCCAGATAACCCTCTACCACCTTGTTTGGGGATTTACAAATGCTAGTTGAGCTTAGCTGATTAGCAGAATACTTAACCGCAAAGCCCCCACTGCCTCCTATCTCTTTACACTTTTATCACATGATTCAGTGTGTGGTGCCTGCCCTTGTAGCTTTCCTAGCAGCTCCACCAGCTCCTCCATTACCTAATTTTACAAGTTCTATGAAGCCTGGGAGTCTAGACAACACCATTTAGCCCATCTTCAAGTTTATGTGCAACCATCCCTTCTTTGCACAAAACAAGTGCAAATAAATTTGGAAAAAAAAAACATTAACGAGGGGCCTGTGCCATTACAGTCACACCATGCGTCTAGCCAGAATATGGTTATGCCTATTTTCTTGACATTTTATAAATCTCCTTTACTGAAGGAGATTATGCTTTCTGAATATATTTCTAGATTGAAATTGAACAATCATAGGTTAAGTTGGGATTTCCCAACTCCTGGATCCCAGTCATCATTTCTCAACCTTCATCATTAACGCTCCAAAGCCAGTTTCCAAGTAACACTGCATCCATCATCTTTATTCTGTGGATTCCCAACTCTCCTACTGACCTTTGGGAGCAAGTAAATATTTTCCTATTCAACCAGATGGATCTTTTGATTATCTCCCATCCCCTTCTAGAGAAACTATCTCTAAATTCTTTCTAGCCTCTTGGCCACTTTAGCCAGAATTGGGGGGGAACGGGTTATGGAGGGAGATTGGATGAAATGTTTTTAAATAACATAACCTCTCTGGGGTCATCTATACTGTATTTAGATTCATGTACCTTTTTTCAGTAATACAAAACTGTATATAACCTTGAGCTGACAAGCATGAGAAAATGGGTTCAATTCTGAGAGCAGCCAGATTTTTCACACACACAGAAAGAGAGAGAGAGAGAGAGAGAGAGAGAGAGAGAGAGAGAGAGAAAGAGAGTGAACAGGGACAAATTGGGTAATAATTGATTTCTCTCTAGCCTTTTAGTCTGTCCTCATTTCCAGCAACTAAACCGTTTGACCAGCCTTCTTAAGCCCCTATTACCCACTTCCCCAAAATATGATCTGAGAGCAGGAACTAATTGTTCATGACCTAACACTAAACAACCCCTACAAACTCTGACTTCTGACACTGTCCCTTGGTTCAGTAGGGATCATATTCCCCTGGGTCATATGATCACTGTTGTACCATTTCGGCCCACCTTTAGCCCCCAATAATAAGGCCTGTTTAACCCTAGTTTACCCTCAACATCCAAAACAATTATCCATACTTCTTCCACCAACCTAGGATTAGTTAATCTCTCAGGTAGGTTGTCTGCCAGCATTCCTGTTATATAAGGAAGGCTACAAATGAACAAAGACTAAAGTTCATAGCATTTGCATCCATTACAGAAACAAAGCAAAGTGTTTTAAAAGCACAAGGCGCAGGGGTCAATTTGTGCCCGAGACATGCGCCTTTTTGAAGCAAGGCGCAAAAATAAAATAAAATGCTAAAAATAAAAAATTGCAAAAAGTATCAAAAATATTAAATATAATATTAAAAAGAATATAAACTTTAGATTTTAAAATAAATGTTTTAAAAAACCTATTATCTAAAATTAAAATACATAAGCATAACATGTAAAGCATATTCAAATGTGAATTTAAAAATAAAATCAAACATATAAAACATTTTCAAGCATGTAAAACCCACAATCTCTTTTTTTACTCAATTGCATTACTTAAAGTAGCTAATGTGATGTAAAACATATTACATTCCTGATTCTACGAGCCACCTTTGTGCCACACCCCTCGAGGCAAGCCAAACAAGTCCATGTTAGGGTCCTAAATTCTTAGTTCTCACACAAAAAATAATGACTTTATAAATTTAATTGCCTTTTAAGAAGGCAGCTCCCCCCTGTTTGGTAATGTTGTTCATTCATTCATTTCAATAAAATATCTTCTTAAAAGGAAACTAAAGATAAAATCATTATTTTTTATGTGAGAACTAAGAATTTAGGACCCTAACATGGACTTGTTTGGGCGAGGGGCGTGCCACGGGGGTCCAGGGGCAGAGCTCCCGGCCCAACTGCTAGGTTCAAAAAAGCAAAAAAGCGTCAAACTGAGGTGCATGCCTGGGCTGACACGCCTTTTAAATCACTGAATGAAATACAATAATACAAAATTAGATAGTGTTTTTTCTTTTTAAGAAAAAGGTTAACTCACAATGATAAAATATTACTCAGTGACTGAGAGATCCATTCAAATGAATAAAGACTAGAGTCCAGTAATGAGCTTTCTTCAGAGAAAATATCAAAGAAAAAAAAAAGAAAAAGGAATTTGGACCTTTTAGACTATCCTCATGCTGTGCATTGCCAATGGCAAGCAAGCATAGATCACAGGGGATCATGTCAAATCGGGTGCTGGTTGAAAAACTTCTGTCAAATCCCTTCATATAAGTGCTGATTTGGAGTTTGAAATCCAAGCAAAGTCACTATCCTTATGTTGCCAATCCTAAACAGTTGTTCGAAGGTATTAGTGAGAATGACAATGGTTAGTATAGTTGACCCCATCAGCATCTCAATGATAAATTTATTGGTAATATTTAAATCTACTTTCTATTTTTATTGCCCTTATTGTTTTGATACAGTAAACCACAAAATCTCAGAGCAAAATTATAAGCCAAATTAATATGGCATAAATCAACCAGTCATTTGTATAACTGTTGGTGAGTTCAACTCTTTTCTTTATTCCCAAGGGAAAAACAACAGAAAAAGTCTATACATAGATTGAATTTGCTTGAAGAAATTTCCATTCCTAGAACTTGATCAGAGTATCACCGTTCATGATAACAATATAGTAAAACTTTAAGATAAATCAATATATAAATTGACCTCCTTTATCATGTATCACCAAGAAATCAACCATGTAATTGCTAGCAAGTTCTCTTTTCTTTTTTCATTTTTTCTTAGGCTGAATTTATTTTGATATATAAGTAGGCAGAAAACTTTGTTCTCACTATTCAGTATTCACCATAATAAGGGGAAGACATATAGCTGAAATATTTCAAAGTGAAATTGTTTTTCACCTCATTTGTATTGAAACAAACAAAGCCTTAAGAAAAACATTACTAGGGAAAGTCTGTATGGAGATTGATTTAGGCTATTGAAACATTTAATAAATTGCATTCTAGGTATTTAATCAGTGTACCAACAGCAACTAACTAAATAAAGCTTAAGTACATGAGATTAATAGCATGAACTAGTCATCATACCTGGACGCTATGGTTCATCTTAAGCATCTGAGCATCAGTTGGTGAGCAAGTAGCATCATACATGCTACCAAAATTGTCTGTGTGGAGCCCAAGTTGGGAAACCTTGTTGGCTTCTCTTGAAGTGGTGCCTATTGCACTTAGAGCAGACACCAGATCTTGCAGCATAGATGCAGAACTAGAAACAGTTCCTTCTTTGACCATGTTACAACAAGAAGACTCAATTCCATATGTCAGTTCCCTCAGCTTCTTTTCCAAAAGAATACTCAAGGCATCACCTCCTATCACATTTAAACCAAGGGAAGGCAATTTGGAACTTTTTGCTTCAGCAGGGAGATTTTTACTATGAGAATCTAAAGAAGAGCTACTACTATTTTCTACAATCTGACAAGAGGAGTGTGATCCTGGAATAGATTTTATCATGGGAGAGGTGAATGTGAATGAAACTACATCCATGCCATTCCTACTATTATCTTCCATCCACTTTGGGTGTCCATCTCTTGCTGCATTGGACTGGATAGGTTTCTTATCTTCATCAACTGATACAGTACTAATAACCCCATTCTTCTCAATGTGGAAATCCCCATTAATGGATCTTTTCTTTCGACGAAAACTATTTGTTCTGGATGATGGAACCTCCTTTTCAATGCCAGTAGCCTCTAAGCTGGTCTTCCTAGATCCAGCTTTGGAGTGCCCTCCAGCCTTATTTAACGTTTTATTTCGTCCAAAAGAAGTATCTCCAGAAAGATCTTTTCTACCTTGTTGATTATTACCTGAAGGCTTTGAAGGGACCTTGTCCTTATTAGTTCTGCAATTCTGTTTTTGGTTATTCTGCCTGAGGACTCCAGATGCATTTTGCATAGAAGATTTCCTCTGGACATTCCTTTGAGCATTTGGCTGGTTCTTCAATTTCTGGTTTGATTTAACATCAAGTTGCTCCTTCTGGCTTGACAAAACCCTATTATTACTTGAGACCAGACCCTCTCTTCTCTGAACATTGACCTTCGCTTGGATAGCAAGTGAAATGGATTTCCCTTTATTCTTCGGGCCAGAAGAATTATTTTCATCTGAATCTGAAGAAGCCCTGAACTGTGGTGTATCTTCTGTTCCATTCCAGCTCTTGTTCAGAGACTGTCCCTTGAGATACTTAATGGCATTAGGTTCAACAGCTCTTTGAGATGCTTCAGGAAGCCTAGAGGGTCGTCTTTGAGCAGCTTCCAGTTTCTCCTTAAAATCCCGAACTTTCAAGGGCACTGAAGTAGAGCCAAGTGATGGCATTTTGCCTCTAATTGTAAGTTGAGGCCCTGGCTCAATAATCTTTGCAGCTGCCTCCATTATGTGAGCTGCATTCTTAATTGGTATTAATCCAGGGCTCTTGATAGGAGACAAAAGCTTATGGTGGGTAATCGGAATGGATTTAGCGGATTTTGGAGGCAGTGTTTCGGTTTGAAACCTCTCAATAGGCCTGTTGGCCATCTTTTGAGGTCTTGATTCCACAGGATTCCTACAAAAACTGCCCATTTTATTGGACATGTCCCCAGAATGCAAAATTCCATGCTCATTGTGAAATTCAAGAGTTTTCTTGTGGCAGTGAGAATCCCGAAGGGACCGGGCATCATAAAATGGTGTAGAATAGGGATCTGCAACATTAGAAGTTGGCAAGGAATCCAATCCCATGAGTCTAGCTACTACCCCAGGGGCCCTGGTTCCATAGCCTTCTTCATCAGTGACTGATGAAGCACAACTATAATCACTACTTCCTTTTATACTTGACCCTCCTCCAATATCATCATCCTCAGCCTGCGAATATGAGAAAACAAAATATAATCATAAATGCACTTTCCATATTATATCAGAGGGAGGAAAAAACGGAAAAGAAAAAAGAGGCATATACACACACCAGATGAAGCCATGTCATCGGCAAATTCCCTTCACTTTTCTTTCCTTGTTTTAATCTCTCTACAGGAAATGCCAGAAGAAAGAAGATCCATTATGAATCCCAGAAAAGACTATACATAAACAAGGAATAGTGCATATATCATAGTAACCCTTGAATAGGAAAGATAAATGTACCTGGTATATCAGACTTGTTAGAGAACAACTTCTTCCTGGACTTCCCATTCCAGTCAAACAATTGAAGAAAGCCACCAACATAGCCTCCTCCATTCTTCGAACTTTGTTTCTCGATCCCCATTTTCTCAAGCAGTGATTAAAATGCTGATATCAACATGATTTCTTCTGCAGTTGAACAAAGATAAAGCCCTTCTATTTGTAAACCTTCATAAAGTTCGTATACAAACATTGCTTAGAACTTAATAGGTTCAAATGACTGCACTCGTCAAAATAAGCAATCGATCCCTCCAGGGGAAGGAAATAGGGGAATAATCATTACATCAAAATCAACAAATTTAATGATCGAATCGAACAACTTAAAAAAAGCCAACTCAGTTCATCTCTACTCACAGGATTAACAGTCTTTACAGTAAATTTCTCCAGTAAACTTGCTTCAACAAACGAAAATAAAATGACAATGATCAAGAACAAGAACTTCACTTGACTCAATATTCTTCATAATAGGATACACTGACAATGATCAAGAACACTGACCTGGATCACCTCACTCCATCTCACTATAAGATCATTTTTATCCAAGAAAGCTACTCTTCAGAGTAAAGAAAAAGGAATTTTGAAGGGATAAAAGAAGGAACTTACACGAATGGTAGGTAGGAAAGATCTGCAGTGTCTCGGTCGATCCGTCGAGAGGCCCTGCTAAATAACGCCCCAAAGTTTTGATTGAATTAGGGTTAGGGTTTCGGAGGGGAATAAAAGGCAACAGAGGGAAATGGCGAGGTTCCGGGGAAGAAAAAGGTCAGTTGCAGAGATTCTGAGAGACAGAAAGTGGAGAGAATTTGGTAAGAGAAGGCTCTGGTGCGTAGTTCGAGCATTAAATGTAGACAGACGAGACGCAGTTCACCATTAAAACTTAAAATAAACAATTAAAAATTCAAAAATTATTGCTAAAAGATAAAAGTTCATAACGTCTCTTTGGAGGAAATTTCAAATTACAAACTATAGATGTATCCGGGATCGGAAAAGGGATTGGTGTCAACGGTCCGCAATTCATCGGACATGTATGCTTCCGAATGCGTATTTTGCTAATTGCCATAGTCAGGGCATGGGCCGGTTCCGGCCTGGGCCTGGGCCAGGCTTCCATTTCTTAATTTTTATTTTTTAAAGAAAAAAGCCCAAAGGCGAATTCATTATTCAACCAGCTCAGTCTAAACGTCAGGAACTACGTACCAATTGTGTACCCAAGTGAGAGACCATCAGTGTTTGGTATCGATGCCGTTGCTCTAGAAAACGGTGATACATCAGCGCCATCATGTTGGAAAAATCATTATTCCGGAAAATGATATTATATTTGGAACTATGGAAATTGAGAAGGCATGGTCTGGGAAAATACCGAATTCGACGTAATAGTGACGTGAACTTCCTATAATGGGTACCAGTGTTGAAAACAGATCTGGAGCACTGGTACAAAACATAAGGTTTTGTTGTTGCCCCATGAAACGTCCTACCTGGCAGTAACGTTTCCAAACAAAAAAAGACATTATTTTCTCAGAAAACGGTACTATATATGCAGCATCGATGCCAAACATATACCATGACGACTCACACTATTTTTTGGTCTAAGTACAAATTACAAATTTCACTAAGCAAGACGTGAGGTGAGGAGACAAAGAACTATTATGATGTTTAGCCTTGTTGGTTTCACCTGTTCATGGGCCAGGTAGCCCAACGGATTAGCCTGGCCTGGCCCATTATTTCTCAGGCTTGTACATAATTTTAGCCCATGGGCTTAGACTCGGACTTGGGCCTAAAACATTAGGCCTGACTTTTTTGGGTTTTTTTTGTCAGGGTTTGGGTTTTCTCAAAAAAGCCCAACTCGATAATATTTTATATAATAAAATATATTTTATATGTTTTTATTTATTTTTTCTTTTCTCAAGCCATAATTAGATATTTTAGTATTTTTGAGTTTTGAGATAATTCAATATAATAAATTAGTTTTATTGTTGAATAAAAAATAAAATATGTTATTGATTAATTTCCAGATTAGGCTTGACTCGGGCTTTAACCCGAACATGCTCTAATAATAAAGAGGCAAACCCCGACGTGACTGGTGAACAAGTCTACTCGTTAGTGAATCAAAATTCTCCACCAACAAAAGTTTGGCAATAAATTGAGTGTCACCCTCAAAGACAACATGTGTTGTAACTTTAAATACGCATTATCTATGGTTCTGGAAAAGTATAATATACAAGATAATTTATATGACATTATAATATATGTTATAGGTTATAATTTATTTAATATTACTATTATTACTATTATATCTATATCATCATTTTATTATAAAAATAATAATAAATATTAATAGCATGAAATTAAAATATTATTATTATTATTTTATAAGTATCCATTCTTAAATTCAATTGTGGAGGTAAAATAGTTATTTATTGTCAAAATTTAACATTCAGATTTAATAACAATATTTTCTACATTATATTCAAAAATAAGACAAAACAGAAAATCACATGCTTTCGAAGTACTTTTCCTTTTAGAGATTTTTTGTTTTTCGATCAATAGAATGCCGCCTTAGCTAAATAGGTCCAAAAAAATTTTAGGCCTTACCAGATCCAGCACCCACCTTTCATGAGAATGATCTCATATCCAAAATAATTTGCACTGATAAATTTACCTTCTTACCAAACAGACTTTTAGCTGTAATGGATGCAAACATGAATTCCAATAAAGCATATGCTTATTTTTTTATCAAAAGCCCACTTGAATGCAAATTTACTTTTTTTTTATTGATGTACTTTTACATCTTATTATTAATGTAAATATGCATTGGTCTGTCATTTGTCAATATATAAATGTAATGTTGCCAAATACATGCAAAAGTGAACCAGAGTGTAAATTTATCCTGAACCGGGATTTACACTCCATTTGCATCGTTTTCAAACGCAGCCTAAAGAGTAAAGATACTTTCTCTTCCAGTTTTATGTTTGGTCATCATGCCATCACCGTATGGATCATATGGAAGAGGCTCGTGGCAAGTTAGTGGTGGAGAATATCTACCTCTTTTTTATCCAGCCCACATTCTTAACAACACCATTAGAGCCCATTTTTTTGATAGTCCCTCTAGTTAATTGGCTAAATTTTGATCACGGGACTACTCCCCCTCTCATAGAGCTGGGGCGTTTTTCAAGTCTGATCAATGTTTGGTCTTTTTCTCTGTTTGACAATAAAATAAAAGAACAAAAAAATAAAAAGACCTATATCCTAAAAAAATTCACAAAACCCCAAAAGAACAAAAAGTCTAGAAGTTTCAAATGAAATTTCCTGTTCAAATGGTTTAGATCATGAAGATCTTTCTACATGGTTTAGATCATAAAGATTTTAGGTCTTGCTATGCCTAAAATCTTTCAGTTAAGAAATGGTTTAGATCTTTAAAGACAAGACCTCAAAAGCTCATTACTTTTTTTAAATTTTAATCATGAAGATCTTTCTAAAAAGATTTGCCAAATGGCACATTAATTATAAATCATGTTGGTTTCTTACTCTTTAGTGGTTGCATGAGCTATCTCTCTCCCCCTTTACCTCTCGGGGGTGCAAAGCCTGAGCTTTATATTTAAAGCTTGGAAGCTTCATTCTTAGTGAGGGAGATGTGCTTTCAGTGATTTTTTCTTTGTTGGAGATTACCAAACTCTCCTCCTTTCTAGATAAGCAACACCATCGCCAATTGTAGATAATCATTATCCACCATCTCCCATTGCACAAATTTTTCATGTCAATATATGTTGTAACAAAGTGGCACATAATCTTAATCAATATGTGATTTCTTCTACTAGAACCTATACTTGGTTGTCTCCTTCCTATTTATATCACGAATAAAAATAATTATTTTTCTTTAATATAATTAATTGATATATAATTCAATGAAAAAATGAGAATTAATCCTTAAATATAAGACTTAATGAGAGGGAATTGAATGGGGATAAATCATAAATGTAATAATTCAAATTACATTTTGTCCTTACAAATAGAGATGGATCAAATTAAAAAGTGGGGGTATTATAATCGAGAATAGGACTGAGAGAAATAGAGAACTCAAAACGGGAAAAATATAGGAGGCAACCATATAGGAGTAAGGGTTAGTTGAGCAGAACCTGAAAAGTAAGCAGATTTGTGCATTTGCTGCTGCTATAAGAGAGGACTGAGTTTTACACCTTGCACCGAGCTTTCCATAGGTGCTAAAACATAAAACACCAATGTGGTAATGAATGGTCTAACAGCCATATCCGACTGGAACCCACTATACATGTTACGGTAGAGGGTCAGATCTTGGTTTAAACCGCTCCATTGCATGCCATTGGTGGAGGCCTGTATCTAGGCTTATAAACGAATCGAATCAGACTAGATTTGAATTCAAAACTGATTATGTATACTAATATTCGAATTCGATTTGATATCCGACATATATAAAAAATCCTTGTTCAAATTTAATTTCGATTACCAAATCAAATATCTGATTCAATTCAAATTTGGCAATGGGCCAAGTGCGACAACAACAGTCATGCATTCCGTCGGTGCAACTAAGACAGTAGTGGTGGCCAGTGATGCTGACCAATGGTAACTCTCACAGTCCTATTAGCTTGTTTTGGGAGCAGTGACAACAAAGGTGCTGAGCTACAAAGGAGAGACAAAAAAGGATGAGATGGGACTTAAGAGGCAGTGGCTGAGAATCGGTGCTCGACCACTAAGTCATCGACATTGCTGTCGGTAATGATGGCTGCTCGGGCGGCAACGAAGGTGCTAATAAGGAGAGATAGAGGAAATGCTGAGACTATGAGAGGCGAGAGAGGAGAGACAAAGGAATAGAGGATGAGAGGTGGTGGCTGGTGACTGATACTCAACTACCAAGTTGATGATGGTGGTTGTTCGGCCGGCAAATGGTGGTTGTTCGGCCGCCAAGTTGAAATTTGAAGTTGAAAGTGAAAAAACAAGAGGGATGAGTGATGGTTAGATTCGAGACTTGATCAAGAGAATGAAATGAATATTATTTTATTTTTTTAACCATCTTTAAAATTTAAATTTAAATTATACTATAATAAATATAATATTAATACATTAATATATATATATATATATATATATAATCGGTTCAAATATTTATCAGATCGGATCAATGCATTTTCTTAATTGGATCTGATAATTTAATCGGTAAGAAAATGATATTCGAATTGGACCGGATATCTGATTCGAACTATCTGAATTCGATTCGATTTGTCGGATTCGGATTTTCGAATACCATTTATAGACTTGTTGTATTAGCAGGGGTCCATGCGATGCACGGACCCGATGATTGTTTTATACAATTGTTTTATATATGTAACTTTTTAAATAATGATTAATTATTTATATTTTATAATACTTTTAATAACTTTTTATAATACAAAAATAACAATAATTTATTTCATCTATAGCTATTGGGGGGTATTTATGTTATTTTTCAATCCCATAAACAAAATACAGAAATACCCCCTAATATGATTGTTTATACCAGTTGTTGTAACACCCCAAAAAATAAGCTGAAACTAGCCGTTGGACCCGATCATTTACACCTCTATACACGAAACAGCCCGATTTACAACTCTATGCACGAGACGAGACGAGACGAGAGTATCTTTTTTCAACTAGACTAGACTTGTCCATCTCATTACTCGCTAGTTTTCCGTTCCAACTTTCCCTCGCAAATTTGCCATCCCTCGCCGCGATGAATTTGAGCAGCGCAACAAATGCAGAAGTTGTACACTGCGTTGCAGTTGCTGGTTCCAACGGACCTTCCCAACATAAATCTTACTTATCAAAACCTTATCCTTGCAAACCAAACTTCATTTGCTTCTCCCAGAGGTTTCAGACGCATTCCACCGGTGCCGCCGATTTGAGAACGAAACGAATAATCAACAGAAGTTCAGTAATTTCAAACTCGAAAAGGAGTGATGATGGAGAAGGTTTGACATACAAGGACGCCGGCGTCGACATAGATGCAGGGTCGGAGCTAGTCCGAAGAATTTCGAAGATGGTTTCGGGGATTGGAGGCTTTGGAGGCCTTTACCCTCTCGGTATATTTTCTATCTTTTCTTAAATTTTATTTATATTTTTAGACATCGGAGGTTTTCTTGAATTCTTGAAGGAAACAGAAAACAAGAAGGGTGAGAGAGAAAAAAAATAGTAAGAACCTTGATTAGTGGCTCGTTTGAGCATTGTAGCGATCTCTTAGACTTGACTCAATAATTTATGAAACTCTTTGCTTCACTGATCCCATTCACACAATGGCGAAATTTATTAAAAATACGACTAAGTTTTATAAAGTCCCAACAACATGTGCATAATTAATATGAACGCTACGTACATTTCTTGATTCTTGTTATTTGCATGAACCATGCTACTGTTGAAGAAGTTGAAGGAGAAAATGAAAAAAAAAAAACCCTAAACATTTAGTTTCTACAGGTTCTGCATGTTCGTCACAGTCACACAGACGTCTCTTGGGTTGTTAAGTATGCACAAATTTTGCATGGTGCTTCGAAACTACTTAGATGAAATGATTTCAGTTGTGGTTTCCCTCTGCATTTTAATAACACCACAGTGTGGCTATTTTAGATTTTGTTTTAAGACACGAGATTCATTTAGGTTCCGTTTGGTTCGAGGGAATAGGGGTGTGGAATCGGAATGGCCCAATCAAATTCAAACTGTTTGGTTGGGTGGAATTGGAATCTGATTAGGAATGACATTCCGTCATTTGAGAGAATGTCCATTCCAGCCAATTCCAATCCGATTCCCATCTGAACCAAACAGGTGAGAGGAATTGAGCATTCCAATTTTAAATTGTTAAGTTAATAATAATGAGGTTATTATTGCTATGTAACTTACTGTAATTTTTTTTTTAATTGGCTTAGACCAGTGATTTAAAAGACACGTCTGAGGTGCACATGTGAGATGCATTTTAGGGTATGTGCCTCGTCTAGGTCTTAGGTGCAGCACTTTGAAAAAGATGCATGGTGTGCCTGGTGTGCCTTGTGCCTTTTGAAAATCTGTGCATTTTTTATCTGTATTTTTGAAAACCCTATATTTGCTAATGTTGCTCATTTGTTCATAAAGATATTTCTAAAAGACACTTAAAGTTATAAAACCATTTTTTATAGGGTTAAGAATTTAAGACCCTGATATGGACTTGTTTGGGCTTGCCTAAGGGGCTTGGTACAAAGGTGGCTCGTAGAATTAAGAATGCATAATGTTTAACATCACATTAATTATTTGAAGTAATGCAGTTGGGAAAAAAATAAAGAGATTAAGAGTTTACATGCTTGAATATGTTCTATATGTTATAATTGATTTTATTTTTAAATATGTTTTACATGTTATTAAGGTTTAAAATATCAATACAGGTTGATATGCCAGTACGGGCATATCGGCCTGTATTGTGGCTTGCCTTTTATTATTATTATTTTTACTTTTTCTTCTCCAACTGGTTCAGAGGGGTCGGTTTAAGGCCCTTCTACCTTCTAAACCAGGTCAGACCCTGAAACACCTCCTATAGGGGTGTTTTGGGAAGCCACCGGTACGACCCGATACGTATCGAAATTTTGAACCTTCCATGTTATGTTTATGTATTTTATTTGAGATAATAGTTTTTTTAAAATATTTATTTTAAAATTTAAGTTTATATTTTTAATTAATAATGTGTTTAATATATTAATTTTTTTGGCATTTTTGCACAATGCTTCAAAAAGGCGTATGCCTTGCCTTGCGCCTCGTTCCTTGGGCACAAAATGGCCCTTGCGCTTTTTTTGCACCTTGCAGTTTTAAAACACTGGTTTGGACTGAGTATGTTGTTCATCAAGAATTTTATTTCTTGCCCTTCGGTTGTAGGGGATCTATAATTATAAGAAATGATGGATATTTGCCCCCTGTGATTGTTCTCTTTGTTTGATAGAGGTGCTTATGCATAGTTGCATACTATAATTCATTCTATTATATTTAAAGAAATTGTGGGGGTGAGCCTAACTAACAAATTTAGAAAATTGTACAAAAGAAAAGGGATTAAATCGGTCCAAGACTTGATTCTATGTCTGGGGAAGGTCAGAAGGTGCAGATTCTTGAAAGGACTCCTGATGTACCGTTCCATAGACTGTGTGTCTTATTTTGTTTCTTTATGTTCTTTGCTGTAATGGGCCTCAACTTAGGCCTTAGCTATCTATAAAATGAGAGAGAGATAGATTAGAATACTTGGGAATCGGGACGGGGACTAGAAGAAAGTTAGGACTTAGGAGGCAATGCTTCCCAGTCCCCAAAAACCAACCAAATTCCTTTTTCTTCCAAGTTCTTAGATGCAATCTTTTTCTGTTCTTGGTCAGTGTCTTGTTTTCTTTTCTGTAACATAAGAAGTTGAATAATTATGTTCAATTAAATTGGATCAGCATGACTGTATGAAGATGTTTGAGCCCTTTTCTCCTTGTTCCTGGAATCAGAATCCTGCAAGGGCCTAGAGGATACGCCAATCGTGAAAAACCATGTCAGCCTGATATTTTAAGGGACAGGTGTCAAAATAATTTCTAAATGCTCATTTACCATGCTTACATGTGCCTACTTGATGCGAACTGAATTCAATGGCCCATTATAGACCTTTTTGGGATTCCAGCCAGTTAATTAAGGCTGCATTTGGCTGCAGTGCAATTTTGTTTTGGGTTTTATTCTATTTTACTTAAGGTTTTATTTTACTCCATTTTTATTATAATAAAAAATAAGGTAAATTTTGAAATAAAAATAAATCAGAATTTGCATCTAAATTATTTGGACTACCTAGATTTGCATTGCAACCAAATGCACCCTAAATATCAGTGTAACATGTTTCTAACCTCATATGGTCATACTACTGCTGCAATATTAACTAGCTAGTTACATGATTTTTTGCAAGCAAAAATTCTGTACAGACTGAAACCATGGGAATCCAGTTGCACATTGGAAACATTTTCTTATAAATTTAATATACATATATAGAAAATATTCTTAATATGCAGCTCAATGCTATGTGAGTAAAACTTTTGCTTGCAAGAGATCATCTTAAGTTCATTGGGGTGGTGGTCTCACTCGTAAAGTCATGATTAGTTATGTAAGACACAGGATCTGTTGCATGTGAACCAGGCCATGTAACCAATCACAAGCGAACATGTCAGGGTCCTATGTGTAAAGAACAATGGTGTGTTCACTTGTGATTATTAAGGGTGTTAATGGACTGGTTTTGGATTGGACCCCATCTGGTCCAAAATTAATTTGCATGGATTGGACGGATTAATAAGACATATTAAGTTGGATCAATCCGGTCCAAATATTTATTAGATTGGATTGCGGCCTGATCTGTTATATTGGATTGGGTTGGATTAAGCCAATATCTGGTCCATTGATATAAGATAAGAATATATGTATCAATAGACTGGCTTTTGGGTTGAAACCAATTTAAATCAAAATGAATTTGAATAGATTGGACGGTCCAAACTTTAAATTGGACTGGTCCAAATTATTCATTGAATTGGATTGGAAAGTGGTACTTCACTCACATTGGACCAATCGAGTCCAATTGACACCCCTAATGATTATTATATAGCTTGATTTACACAATTGTGTTGGCATCCTGACTCTGGACTGTGTCTAATTCATTTGACCTTCCATGAATTCTGGTATATCGTTGATCATGCAGTACTCTTGTGGCTGATGCAGAAAGAGGATTCTGGTTTTGCTTTGTTCCTTTAGGTGGCAAATATAACCATTGTCACCGCTTGACTTAGCGGATCGAGTCCCGAGTCCCGATAACTCGGTAGAAGGAAGGATTCATGAAAGATTATCCATTCGAACGAGTGATTTCCCTGAGTGATTATTTGCTAGCAGAGCAGATACGTTGTTCATATGTTCAATATTAAAGCAAATTCAATATCCTGTGGGCTGTAGTAATCCTCTTTAACTCACCCGCCCCTACACATTTAACTCACCCGCCCAAAAATGACAAAGAGAGAAGAAAGTCAGAAGACAGAAAAGGGCTTAGGGACGTTCTTAGAAACCTTAAAATTAGTTGCATTAATAAAAGTTACTTTAACAGAAAAAATAGATCACATCAAGATACTTCTTCCGTAAAATAAGATAACACAGATAACACTGCTTAGCCTGTTTGCTAGTTTCCTACATAAATAAATAGCGAGAGGGGAAGAAATGAACAAATTCTTCTTGGACTGTTAGTTATATTTTGCTTCCATTACTTCTCTTCCTGTATTTCCTGTTAACACTCTCTGCTGTCAGATTGTGACTGGCTCCTGCTCTCCCTCCATCCACAAACTTCCCTCTGGCAATTCTCGGTTATATTTTGCTTCCATTACTTCTCTTCCTGTATTTCCTGTTAACACTCTCTGCTGTCAGATTGTGACTGGCTCCTGCTCTCCCTCCATCCACAAACTTCCCTCTGGCAATTCTCGGTTGTCTGTTGCCTTCCATATTCTCCCACTCGTCCTCCATTGCAGATCTTACCCTTCTACCTCTACGATGCCCTCCAAAACCAGGTCTGCCCAAGTTCAAATTGGACTCGTCCATCCACCCCACTCCATCAGCTAAAGCTTCAAAATGCTCTTGGTCCCTGACACACTTCGTTCTTCTATATTCATCTTTCATGTTCCCCCAACCGCTCTCATCAGCACCTAATCTCCGCACTCTCTCATTTTTCAGAAGCGGTCCTCTCCTACCACAATTTACCACTGGGAAGCGGTCCTCTGCTAGCGGTGGGTCCATTAACTCTTCAGCATATTCCATTCTTCTGTATTCATCTTTCATGTTTCCCCAACCACTCTCATCAGTAGATGATCTCCAATCATGACTGGGGAAAGGCCTTGCGATAATGTCATTTGCTGCCGGATGACCCATCAGTCTGTGTCCACAGTTATTTCTTTTATAGCCAGAATCCATGTTCTCCCAATCTCTGATTTCTCTATGAGCTGACGATATATTCATGGTTCTCATATTATGGGCTGTCCCAATTGATTGACCCATTAAGTCCTCCACATTGTCGGGATGTTGGAGATATCTCTGGGATGAAGGACCTCGGCTACTGAGAAGTCTCAGTCCATTGGACTTGTTGTAAGGCCACTGCGTCCCCTGTTCATGGGTCTTGTTCTCTCTCTGCCTCTGGATGTGGGGTTCATGTTGCCTCTCAGGCTTTTGGAAGAACCGTTGGTGACTGTCCAATCTGTCGGAGTTGTGAGGCTTCTGCTGCATCCCCTCCACCAGTTCCGTGACATTTTTAGGTGGATACATCAAAGGTGGAACAGAGGTGCCAAGATTCTGAATAGTTGGAGGCAACAATGGAGCTGCTCTGCTTCTATCACAACCATATCTTGTGACATTCTGTTCGGGGGCCTTGTTCCTTGGGGGAAATTGCTGCTTTTTATTCGCTGGTAGTGTTGGTCCTGGAATATTTTCCTTTAAAACAATATTCTCCCTAAAGCAGGCAAAGAATGTTAATTTTTTTTTTCAAGCTATGTTTGAAATAAAAATGGGAATCATGGGCACAGTTTCTCTGTCCAGTCTGGCCTAATCCAGGCAAGCCCAAAGCTTTGGATCACAACCATTCATAGATTTGAGAAACTCTAGCTCATCCCAAGAGAACCCCAAAAGAAAGCATAATGTTTGGTTCTTCACTAAACAAGAGAAGAAAAAAGAATAAAATGAAAGGGAAACAAGCAGAAAACAGCAAACTGTGACCAGGAATAAATCCAAAAACCAAACTCGAAATGGAAATGAATACCTTAAATTTGAAGGTTCGTGTAGTTTTCGATCCATCTTTCTCCAGTCGATTCCTTTCTCCTCTAGAACAACTTCTCTAGGCCTTGCAGAGCCAAAGGGATTGGGTTTCAGCTGCTGAAGGCGCTGAAGTTGAGCTTCTTCTTCTTCTTCTTTTTCTACCTCGTCTGCCCATGACCAACTAGAAGGTCTGGAACCAGAACCAGGTCTGATTTTTCTTTCCCCCATCTCTTTCCCTGTTCCTCACGCTCTCTCACTCGCCGAGAGTCCGAGACCCAATTCAGAGCGGCCGTCCTGCGTAGAAATTCAAATGTTTGAACTTTGCCAACGGTAAACAAGTATAAATAAAATCAAATTTAATTTTTTTTGGGTAAAATATTAAAACCTCCCCCTGAATTTTCTGACAATAATAAAAACCTTCCTATTTTCATTTTAACAAATACCTCCCCTTTAAAAACCTTGACAAAAACCTCCCTTCGATCATTATCCCAGACGGAAAATTTACAAAATTACGAAATTAACCCTAACGGTTGTCATTTAAAATATTTTAAATTATCAAAATTGCCCTCATTCAAGCAACAACACATTTACATTTTTTTTTTTTTTTTTTACATTCCTTTCCAGAGCAAAAGAGAAGAATGTAAACCCTAAGGCTTGGCTAGGATTGGGGAAATGTTAAGAAGCCAAAGAGGAACCGAGCAACTTGGCGGTAACAAAGGGGATCTCGAAGGGCATTGGGTTTCGGCAATTGATGTCTATTTTCAGCAGCCGGAGTAGCAGGAGTAGAGACCACTAAAAGGAGTGTTATGGTTTCGGTTGTTGGTTTCTTTGTTCCTTTTTTTTTTCTGCTGTGTTTGATTTTTAATGTTGCTGTTTCTATTTTTCTTTTAGGCAGTATTTGAAGGTTTTCCTACCTTTTACAACCTTTTCCTTCAAACCAAACGTAGCTTCAGTGAAACCTGTGATTTACCCAAAAAAAAATATCTCCGAGTACATTGAGGTTTTTTTATTTTTTTTTGTTTTACATCCAACTTCAGCTTTTGCTATTACAAACGTATATCAGTAGGGCAGAATATGTCACCGCCGGTGCAATACAGATCAAAGAGACAGCTTTTACATTCTCATACATTTTCATGCACACAAATGACATAGTCATCGTCCTCTAGAACATTCTGACGTTTTTGGATTGTCACTTTGGTTTGCTTTTGATTGTTAATTTGTTCAGTAATGATATAATAAGCCTTTCTTTAGACACCTTCTCAACTATACAAGATTTGACTCATCTGCTTCTCTTTTAGCTTCTTCCTGTGCTTTTTCCTACTCCAAGTTATGCTGATTTCTAATGCCATTCTTCTTTGTTTGATAGTTTCTGATTCGGGATCAGCCATTGCATTTTCCTTCCTTCTCCAACCCTGGATCTCCTCATAGCAAGCTGAAAGATATCTATCACACAACGTTTAAACTGAGTGGATGGAGTTTAGAGATGGGAGATTAAAAGAGGATAAAGAGATCGAAGGAAGTTTTTAATAAAATTGTATGTAAAATAATTTATAAAAGGATAGAATGAGCATTTGGAAAATTTGATGCATAAGTCTGAATTTTTTGTTTGGGTTAGTGATGGAAGGGAGGTCTTTATTGAGTTTTTGAAAACCCCCTTGTTAAAATGAAACTGGGAGGTTTTTATTATTGCTAGAAATTTCAGGGGAGATTTTTGTTTTTACCCTTATTTTATAAGAATTTAGGTTAAATACTTAAATTACTCTTATGGTTTAGTAAATGACAGAAAAATACCCTATTGTTTGAAAATTACTTAAAGCACCCTGAGCATTTTGAGAATGGACAAAATCCTCCCCTATCATCAGGAGATGGGATCTACAGGCGCCTCACACCAATCTCACATGCACATCCTACCATGCATTGGGAACATCTCCTGTACTTATAAGTTATTATTCACGAGAGATGTTCCCAATGCACAATGGATGTGCCTGTGAGACACCCATGTGTGAGGAGTAGATCCCGTCTCCATCATTAGTGTGTCGTTACAATCCGTTCGCATGTGATGTCACATGACAAATATAATTTTTCTTAATTCCAAAACCACACTTTTGTGACTGATTTTGCCTTTCATTGTTCTTTAAATTTTCATCTACTTGGGAATCAAATTGATCTGAAAAATTTATGACGGAGAGTTGGTTTTGGACGATGGGGTGATAATGGCAGGGTTTGGTGTTTTTGATTTTTGAAGGAGGGAAAGCGATGTAGGTGGTAATGGCAGAATTTGGTGTTTTTGAAGAAGGGGAAGCGGTGTAGGCAATGTTTTAAAAAACGATCTGGCCATCGGTTTCTGGGTCGATGGTTCAACCATCTGGTTTGTATGGATGGCCCGTTATGACAACAAAAATTAAAAAAATATAAATAGTTAAAAATAAAAAATGGCCAAAAACCATTGAATAAATTGACAATTCGACCACTTGGGTCAACGGGTCATTAATCGGTTCAACGGTTTTTGGCTAGAAACCGAATTTAGAGTAAAACAGAATTGTCTAAACAGTTCTCGGGCTGAACAGTTCGACCATCCGGGTCAATGGTGATTTGAAAACCATGGGTGTAGGTGCTAATGGTGGAGTTTGGCACTTTTGAAGGAGGGGAAGCAATGGTAAAGGTGTACAGGGGCGGACCCTAGAGTGCTGGTTTCGGACGAAGGATTGAGGGAAGAACAGGCATTTTTGTGCTACAGCTGTCGTTTCTGTGCAAGGCTTCCATCCTAAGGTTTCAGATCAAGAGGCTTTCAGGCGTGTGGCTGCCGGATTATGAGCAATTATATATTCTTCTCATTTTTAATTTCCATGTTTAAATCTACTGAAATTCTGAAACCCATCATCATTGTGAGAAGAAAACTTATACTTAATGAACTGATCAGTTAGTCATGCTCAGTTTTCACTCAAGTATTTCCAGAGTAGAATTCTTGAATATGCTAAATGTAATTTCCGTTTGTAACCAAGGGTGTCAATGGACCGGTTTTGGACTGAACCCTCTTCAGTCCAAAATCAATTTAAATGGATTGGACAGACTAAAAAGAAATAAGTGGATTGGACTAATCCAGTCTAAAGTATTTATTAGATTGGATTGGACCTGATCCGTCTGTATTTATATTGGATTTGGTTGGATTAAGCTAATATCCGGTTCATTAACATAAGATAAAAATATAGGTGTTAATGGATCAGGTTTGGGTTGAAACCAATTTAAATTAAAGTGAATTTGAACAAATTGAACGATCCAAACATTAAATTGAACTGGTCCAAAATAGTCAAAATTATTCATTAGATTGGATTGGACCTGATCCATTTGTAATGGACTCACATTAAACTGGATCGGATTGGACCAAATTCAGTTCAATCGACACCCCTATCTGTAACCAAGCTTGCTTCCCAAGCTCCCATTCAAACTAATATTATGATTTACCGCTTAAAAACCAAATTTTGATAGAAGATATTAGATAACTGTAGGGTACAATCAAGTACACCGAAATACCTCGAAATTGAAGTACATCAAAATATCTTCAAAACATGCAACTAACAACGTAATCAAGACACTCCACTTTTGGACCACTGTTTAATCAGTTACGACTGACGTCTTCAGACAAAGAGACGACTTGAGACACCCAACCTTCTCTTCTAGTCTTCTGATGAGAGAGCGCCCAAGACATATTATTTGGATTTTGGGACTTCAGATTAGAGTTGCTAGGATGGATTTGGGTGAAGAAGAAATGTTACATTTTGAAAATTTGAAGAAAAATTAAGGGTAAAATGATATTTTCTATCTTTCCGTTGTGGGTTACTGACAGTTGTCCATTGTGAAAAATGTTTAGAGTACTTCAAATAATTTTTTAAACAGTAGGGTATGTTTGTGTCCATTTCATAGACCATAAAAAAATTTAATTAATTTTTATTTCTTAGTAAAGTAAACTATAAAGTATAAACAACACGATGTTTTACTAAAGTAATCAGGTTGAATGTCAGTCTGACCCCATTTTGTGTTGTTTTAATAGGCAATTTGTATGATGTCGGAAGGGTAATGATAAAAGATTCCTATATAAATTTCCTCTTTGTTATAAAAATTGATATTGGCTTTATATAATTTCCTTTTGAGCAATTTAATGGATAGAAGATTAGTTTAATAAATATAAAAATAAAAGTAAAAAAAATTACAAAACCGGATATGTTTTCAAATATATTACAAAAACAGTCAGCGGGACAAAAGGAACAATTTTTTTGACCAAAATGCCTATTCTTAAAAATATATGCAAATGGAATGGAGAAAAGATATAAACGTTAATGTCCTCTTTAATGGGAGCCTTGGCAAGAAAGGACAAGACTCCCATCTCCCTTCCAACTTCCTGCAACCCATCAAACAATGAGTTTGAATCATGATTTTCAAAATTGGACCGGACCAAAAGGTTGGACCGGAAAAATTGGGAACCGGTTACTTGATCGGTTTTGTTTTCCTCTAAAATCGCTTTTTTCCTTAAAATCATTGATTTTGATCAGCAAACTGCTGAACTGGCCGGTTAATCGTTCAAACGGTTTTGACCGTTTTCCAATTTTTTTTATTTCTTTTGTCAAAATAGGCTGACCATTCGAGTCGAACGGTTGAACCGTTCGAACCGGTAACCGGACCCTGACTGATTCGTTTTTAAAAACCATGCTTTGAATCTATAGTAGGGTTCCTTCTTAGCCTTAAAGCAGCAATTTCTTTAGATTTCTTTACTATCTTTGAGATGATATCAGAGATCATGACTTCGAAGTTGCTTTGCTATTGGGATCGCTTCTTTTATAATCTTTTGAGATCTCTACATTGCTTCTTCAACAAAGCTTCGAGCTTATTAGAAGTGGGGGGATGAGGTGATGGGTCTGGATGTAGTAGGCACGTAATGTAAGCATAAAGAGAGTACATAATAGCTGTGCGGCACATGTCCTAGTTAATGTGCTTTTTATTCAAACGTTTTTGTTCCGTTAAACAGAAATTATCTATTATTTTATTATCTTTTTCAAAATAATTAAAAATAAAAACAATGAAAAAGGAAAACCTAAACATGTTGGGAGTTGGGACTCATTTATGTTTTCTTTTTTCATTATTTTTTATTTTTAATTATTTTGAGAAAGATAATAAAATAATAAATAATTTGTGTTAAAGAAACAAAAATGTTTGAATGAAAGGCACATTATATTTACCTAACGTGCCTACTACATCTGTTTCATAAAATCAACCACCGGTCAGAAACCACCGAATCTCT